CAGTGGGAGAGGTGCTGTGTTTCCTGTTGAGTCTTGCACCAAGCAAACACAAATCCCAGCTAAGCCTTGAATGGTTTATTTAGAGCGATGCAGCTTCTCTTTCAAAACTTGAATGGAAAAGAAAAATATAAAAGAACCCACAACCGTCCCCATTTCCTCTCCTTTGCCTTCTCTCCAGTACCCATTATTTTGGACAGGAGACCAAAGTTCTCTGATCTTTGTTGCACCCACATGCCCATGTGCTGACTTGAGGAAATCTGCATGCAGAGGAGCTGATAAGCACTTTAGGCTGCTGGTGCTTAGATGTTTCTCTGTGCTTTTCACTTTGGTCATTATGAAAAATTGTGCTCGTGTTCAGCAAATTATGGGCTGTGGATGGAGTTGTGAATACATTTCCCTTAGAGGAGCCTTGTTTGCCTGTAGCTGGGTGAGCTGGCAAGGGTGATGTTACAATTCCACCTAAATTATTGACCCACTGCCTGAGGGTAGTGGAGGGGCTATACAGAGAAGCTACCAGAGCATCTCAGGAGGAATTTTGCAGCCTTATCTGACAGACATGTGTTTGTCCTAACAATATCAGGGAAGCCCTAGCAGGGAAGAAGTGGCAATATTTTATTAGTTGAAGTATTGTGATTTGTCAGAAGAGGAGACGGAGTCTTCTGCTCTCAGAATCCTGTACATGTATGCAGCATCTAAAAGTTAATTTAATAAGTTATGGCCTCACAGTTGTGTCTTGTCATAGTTTGACTCTTAAGTATAGAGCAGGCTTCTTGGTTGGAGAACCAAGACAGCTGTTGGTGCTTCATCTCTGGAACAGCCCTGGGAGCTCTGGCCTGGTACAGAGGAGGTGGCCTCAGGTCTTGGCACATGCACAGGGTGTGACAAGCAGTGAGGACAGAAGAGCGTTGAGTGAACAAAAGGATGGGCAAACCCATGCTGTCATTGATGGAGGAACTGTGGAGAGAGCCCACAGCTGGCCTGGTGCTACAGGGAAGTCTCATCCCCTAAAACTCCTGTTAGTGTAAGGCAAGATTTTTTTTTTACACTGTAACTATTTTAGAAGGCTGTTTAAACCCAGAAATACCAGTAAAGCATCACTCAGTGCTTTACACTGCAGCTTCAGTGTCCCCATACCATGCTGAAAAAGGCTCAAGCTTGAGGGGACAGTGTGACATAGGATGCTGATCATGATGCCCAGTTCTGTGGAGAGTTGCTGGGAAGGAGTAATGGATGTAGTATGCAGAATACAAGCAAAGCTGGCTGGTACTAGACTTTTTTGCTCTTTGCTGATGGAGTGGATGCCAGTTCAGAATAGGCATTCATTTATTACCGTGTCTGTGGTGCTTGACAAGTCCATCAAGTTCCGCTATTGCAGTAGGAAACTGAACATACAAGTTCTGGCACGTGAGATAGGAATCATGTCAAATCATCTGTTTGCATCAGTCTGGGTTTTGTGAGTGGATTTAGAAAAAGTCAACCAGATACCAGAAAGTTCTGCTGTGCAGTGTGCAGCTGGAGATGGCTGTGTCTCTGAATCCATGGAGCCTTTGCCAGAATGGAGACACTGAATATCTCAGAAGAGGCAGCCCAAGCCAGAGTAATCTTCCTATTGAGGGGAAATACTTTACCCACACAGATACTAAGAAATTAAATCATGGCAGTTGGTCTGAGAGGGAAGAGGCTGACAACAGTCAACACTTCTTTTGAATTTTTTCTCTTTTTTTGAAGTATATAGGAGCTTGTGAGACCAGAGCCCTGTGATGCAATGTTGCAATAAGCTGTGTTTCTCCCTGGAATGTGCAGTGTCAGTCATGCTCCCAGTGCAAGTCAGAGCCTGTGCTTCCCTCAGACACAGGCACAACTCCTCGAGTGTGTAGGTGAGCTGCTTTCCAGGCTCCAGGACTGTGCCTGCACAGCCTGTCCAGGCTGGCTGTGTCACGCAATGCCTCTGGAATGGGGAGAGGCTCTGGGGAGGGCAAGTGCCTGGACATGGCCAGGCTTTAGCAGCAGCAGCTGGGAACACCACGGTGCCTGCTCTGCACATGGAGAACTGCTGGATTTGGGGGCAGCCCAGAAGTCAAGCACGGGGAGGAGGAGTTATTTGTACCATGTGCTTTCACACCTGGCTGTGGATGTGCTCTGCAGCACCTGAAGTTAGCAGCTGGCATCCATCTGTGGATACTGACAAGAATTGGGTGCCTCCAGAAGGTAACTCACTTGGCATAAATGCCATGAGTCTTCCCCACCACAGGGGACAGCCAGCAAAGATTGGACTGGACAGTAGGGTGCACACCTCAGTGCAGCACTGCCAGCAGAATATGAGGATTTTACCCCCATTTTTCAGCTGTGACTGTACTCCTTCCTTCACACCTTGTAAGCCAGGCCAGTGGTAAGCAGAACTACCTCGTGAGGACTCCTTGATGGAGATGTAAGGAGTTCCTGGTTTTCAGTCCACTTTCCTAATGGCCAGTTTGCCCACTCTCAAAGCTGCCATCCCAAATGTTCTTCCCTTCCAGTGGGAATACTCAGTTGGTATCCAAGCAAGTAGTAAATGTGATTAATACTAATTGGCACTAGCTGGCAGCCTCCATGGAGGAGCTGGGAGAGCCCATGGGAATAAAAACTCTCTTCCAGTCCATGTGCTCAGAGACCTCAGTGGGAGGTGAGAAGCAAACCTTGCAGGAGCAGCTCTGGGCTGCACTCTGAGGCTGCTGCCCCTCTTCCAAAGCAAGCTACAGTTTTTCTCCCCAGACAGAGTCACAAAGAGGGGGAGAGCAGGAAGCACAGCAGGAGCAGATCCCTCAGCTATGCAGTGAAAGGACGTGGCCAGGAAGCTGACTCCCCTCAACAGCTGGTCACATTTCTGTCACCAGGATCTTTTTAGGAAGCTGTGCTGGAGTTTCTGGCCTTCATGTGCATCCTGGCTGTGTCCTGCCTGGACAGCTGGAGGAAGTCAGTTGCAGAGGATTTTCCTTGCATCAGGCCAGGAGCAAGCTGCTCCGGAAGCCCTGTGGCTGGGGAGATGATGGACAGTGCTGCAGAGACCTTCTCCAGGGTAGGATGTGACCAGGCTGGGGAGTCTGAGCCACCAAGTGTGAGGTGGCTCTGCCTACAAATGTGACTGTGTACTCAGGACTGGAGTGTGGTGCTCAGGCTTGCTTTGCAGGTCACCAAGGGAGTGAAGAAGGGCTGGCTTTTAATCTGAGCAAAGTGTATTGTGTGAAAATTGTTACTTGTTTCATCATTGTCCTAATGTTTGCCCGGCATGAGCATCTCTCCTCATTGCCTACAAATGTCTGAAGTTGATTGTTTTTTAGATACAGATGCCTTGTGTTGAAAGTCTGACTTGTACCTGCCTTAAAAGTGGCTCTGTGCCTTCAAGATGACTCCTGGGCCACCTCTCTGTTGGAGCTGGGGGATATTCAGATTCTCCCTTGTGTTTTATAAATACATTGTCTTCCTACAAGAGCTCTCTTCTGTCTGTGTGTTCACTTGCACCTGCATCACTGTGCAGCAGGAATTAGAATCCAGGTGTGCTCCTCTGTTTTCATTAGCTGAAAGCACAGGCAGTACCAGAGAGATCACTCTCAGCAAGAGCTGTGCAGCAAGGGGTGGGTGGGAGATGCAGTGGACAAGACTAGCCCTGCTTCAGTCCCCTCTGGATCTGTGGAAAATGGGATGGCAACAAAACAGTTTTCCTCCTGTCTACACGGGTTTGTCACGTGGAACAAGGTGGAAACAGTGGACAAATACACATTCCAGCAAAGCATGAGTGTGATGTGATGAGAGAACATGGAAAACGTGGCTCTCCTGGCCAGCAGAGGACAGTTCCTGGAGAAGACCACAGGTGGGAGCCTAGACCTTTGCAAAGGGGAAGTCAGCTCTTTCACAGCAGCTGCTTACTTGAATTCAATTTTGGCCCATCTTCGCTTCAACTGTGTCTTCTTTGAGTCTCAAAAGCTTGGCAGCAATGGGAGTCCCACACAAAGAGGGGGAAAGGCAGCCAAGGTTGCTAATGAGTATGATTCCACTATAACAAGAAATTATTAATATTAAAGGAGATGGAGGGAGAGTATTCCAGTGTGCTGCCAGCCTATTGCTTGCCTGGGATGAGTGGCAGGGAGCCCTCTCTGCTTATGTGCTCTCATGTGCTGCCATACCCGATCCAGTAGCTCTCTGAAGCAATGATGAAGTTAAGATCTGCAAATGAAATTTCCCTCACTGCTTCTTTCCCAGCTGAATCTTTTCTATTTTCCTCTCTCTTTACATTCAGTCATCAATGCTAATTGCTTTGCCTCCTGCTCCATGAAGCAGTGAGTCCTGGGGTTTGGGGTCTGCATGCAGGATATGTAATTTTTTACCTTTCCACCAACTCAGCCAGCCAGCAGTGGCTGACAGCTCTTGGCTTGTGGTTTTGCTGTGCCTACAACTCATTCTGCTACCTCTAGAATGAAGCATTTTTCTGAAGGAGGCAGGATAACAGGCTTCCCAGAAACATCCACCCCTCTCTGCTGCTAGTCAAAGCAAAGACTGAGCAAACCAAGTTGAGCAGCAAACTCAGAGTCACCCCTGACATGTCATCCCCAAGGAAAAGTGGAGGACAAGTCTCTGCCTGCTTTGCCTAACAGATCTCAGACTGTGCTCAGCTTTACCACTTCAAGTTCTGGTAAATACATAACTAGTATTTTCCATCCTACCCTTATTGTGCAACTTTCCTTCAGCTCAAAAAAGTCACTGTCGGTTTTAGGTGCTGAGCTGCTGCTGGCCTTACCCACCAGTTTGTGGGCAAGATCATTCACACCCTCTCAGAAAAAGCACCACGTGTGACTGACACAAATTTGGTTTTGTAAAGACAAATCCAGAATACAAATGAAATCTGAGAGTCAGACACTCCCAGTAGCTCCTGAAGACTGATGTGAGGATGCTTTCATGACATTTCTCTCTCAGGGATGGCAAGGATATACAAAATGAGAAGTCCATATTAAACTCTGATTCTGCAGTACAATGGAAAAATCATTTAATAATCAAAAGAGCATGTAATTATTTAAATAGGCTTACATAAGGCTATTAAAATACCATTTTTTAGCATGACTATAGAGTTAAAAAATTTAAGATTGAAAATTTTTACTCTTTCATAAAAGTCTTGAAACTCATTAATTCAAAGGATTTTTTTCTTATGGAAACAAATGGTTCTAATACAAGAGAATTACCAGAGCTGTCATTATAAACCAAATACATTTTAAAACATTTATATTAGTGATAAGAATAAATCATAATGGTGATTTTTAAAATAAAGTAATAAGCTATTTAACTGTAATTTTTCATTGCAGCAATAAGCCTAGGCTGTGGCCTTATGTATAATGTTTCTTCATTTTCTATTAAGTATTGTCAGGCTATTCTGACATCATTCCTGATAGGTCACTGATGATGACATCAGACCACTATAATTATTTTCTGTCCTTGTTAATATCCCAGTGCTGGAAATATCTGATTGTTTTCTTAACTGTGTAACATTTAATTTTAAACAACTAGGAAAACATTTGAACTGGTTCTAGCTATCTTCACACACACCATTCTATCCTCCTAGGAAAACTTCTTTTTTAGTTTGAGAAATCCATTCCAACATTTGGGAGGTAAACTATTACATAGAATTGCTTTAAGGGCACCAACTTATGTTTGAGACAAAAAAGAACTGGACTTATTTATTTAGCCTACAAAGTAAATCATTCAGTCTTCTCTACCAAATGAGCTAATATTGAATATGTGAAGCAGGCAGCTAAAATAAGAAAAGAGATTTACAGAGCTGCACTTTCAAAATGTATACCTGCTGCTGTTCCTGCAGTTTTCTCTTGCAAAGTTTGTCCTAGCTTGGAAAGGCAATGTTCCTACCCCTCAGAACTGCAAAAGCATTACAGCAAGGGGCCGGTATGCTATGATACACACAGAGTTTTGAAGTTTAACCCAGTTTCCTGGATTCATCCATGGACTCCTGCTGAGGTCAGTGGAAGCATGGAGGAGAGCTGCACTGCTCAGATCCTGCAGGGGAGACAAGAAACTCCGGTAAGGTCACCTCAGACTCCTCTGTGTGCATGGCAGAGAGGAGCAGTCACAGCCACTGCTCGGCACCACAACTGCCCCTGCTCATGTGGGGTGCTGCTCTTCAGCACTTGCCCCTCTCTGCATCCCAAACCAGCAGTGTTTCTGTGGAGGCTTTTGGCCTTTGCATCAGTCCTCACCATAGCATGTGTCTGTTGAGCTTTCTTGTTGGCTGTTGCCCTGGTATGTGGCATTTAACCTGTGTTTACATCTTGCAGGTCGTGTAAACAAGAAATATTAATTTTGCTTATTGAGCTAAAGTGCTTTTGATTTAAGAACATGTCATCCCTTCGCTGATGTGACATGGAAACCCAACCATTTGGATGAGCTCTTATTTACAGGGCTTCCTTGAAAATGAGCATTAGGTGCTTAAAACAGTCCCTGCCAAACTACAGTGGCTGTTGTAGCGAGCTCTTCCTCCTGTGCCTTGCCCAGCACGTTCCTTTGGCTCAGATGGTGCTGCTGTCTTGGGATTCCTCCCAGAACACTCCTAGTTTTCTTCCCCAGCATTAGCTCCCATCCACAGCTGCTATTTGTATCTAGCATGAGCTCTGCAGCCTTCCAAAACCCCCTTGCTGCTGATAAATCCCAGCAACTGCTTGGATTAGAGACCAAGTGAGGAGAGCTCCTCCTCCTCTGAGACAATTTGTTCAATGGCTGCAGGTTTTTGTGGGACAGCAACATGCCTCTGGAAAGGCTCTGTTAATTTGTGCAGCTTTGCCTTCGCCACCTTGAAGTGATGTTTTCTGAGACTGAGAGCCCTCCCAGGGGCTGGCAGTGATGGGAACTCACCCTTTCTTACCTGAGTCCATTGCCCCATGAATTAATAAGGGCCAAAATTCCTGCTAGGGTAGAGGCCAGTCTTCTGCACCCCAAAGGCTGTGATGAAGATGTTGAGGATGACTGTGATGAAGATGAGAGCTGTGGCAGCGTTGTTGAGTATGTTCAGGCGGGGTTGCTTTGCAATATCATTCAGGTTCAAACGAGCTGTGCAATACAGTGCAAAAAGAGAAAGGGGTTTGCAGGCTGACTCCAAGTGCCCCAGCTCCTGCAAGCCTCCCCTGCCTGGTAAATGTTCATGGTGCCTCTGAGAGCTGAGGCCACAAAGCACAGGGAGTAGTCACAGGAATGCTACAGGAGCCACAGCTTGCTCTGGGAATACACAGAAGGCTGGAGCAGAGAAAAAAATAATCTTGTTTTGATTTTTTGGCAAAATTCTTTGTTTTGCCATGGAGATGCCATGGCCCTGCAATGGGTCAACCCTAAATAGGGAGGTTACTGCTGCACACTAGCCAGACACATGCCATGGTCCCCCCAACACTGCCTGGCCATGGGACATGGTGAGGGCAGGCTGGGGGACAAGGGCAACAATGCTCTGCTTGTACTAGGAGGCCAGTTCCTCCCTAAAACCCAGATGTCACCTCTGTGGTGACACAGCTTTCAGCCCTGGGCACATGAATGGGCTCAGTCCTGGCTGGTGGACATTGATGCCCTCAGACACAGCAATGCCCTGGTTACCAGGGCTGTCTGGCCAATAAGCCATGCAAACAGCAGCCATGTTGTGGTCTCTTGTCCCCTTTCTCCTCCCAGCTGGTTCCAGCCATCACAGCTGGCTCCAGGAAAAATCTGAGGTGTGTGCGACAGGGGAAGGAACATGGCACAGATTTTCCAAAGCCTCCAATCCTCTGTTCCCCATAAAAACCCATGTAGGATATTCAGGAAAATGCAGTATTTTGCAGATTTTTAATACTGGGAATCTGTTGGAGACTGAAATACAGCAACTCCTGTATCAGATGGATGGATCACTGAGCAAGCACTGGCAAAACAGTGCTGGTGTTAATGTACTGTACTGTCTGTAGGCCACTAGGAAAACTGTGGGATTGGTTAAATGTGAGGTAAATATGGGAATACCTCTGCCAAAATTGTTCTGTTAAGTCCCAGACAAAGTAAGATATAAAATACAGCTAAAATGTAGTGTCTGCAGGAGCTGCATGAAGGAGCACACAGCAGTAGGGGCAGCAAGAGGCCCATCTTGGCCAAATCCCCACTCTTTTCCTGGAACAGGGGGTCAGCAGTGGCAAAGTGAAGGAAGAGGTGTGCTCAGAGATGTGCAAACAAGAAACAACCCACCACCATTCTGAGTAACACTGACTGCCCTACCACCCACATCCAGCCCTGGATGGAGCCAGAGGGGAATACTTTGGGGGAAGAAGCTTCTCCCTTCCACCCCCAGACCAGCCCATCCACAGGGCACCCCGCCCCTGCACACTCGCCTCGGTGGGCACCTTACCAGTGATGATCAGGAGAATCCCAATCAGCACCTGGAAGAAGAGGGAGATGCTGATGAGCACGATGAGGGTGGCGTAGTACTGGAAGGACGTGCCCTGCTCCAGCACAGCTTTGAGCTGGGTGACATTGGCCATGAAGAGTGCCACGTCCAGCATGCTCTCCGCCACACTCTTCTTGGTGGCGTAGTGGTTGATGTTCATGGGCCCGTTGACCCGGAGGTGAGGATTCATGCCCTGGGGAGACAGGAGGAATCACTAAACCAACAGACACACCTGTGCCCAGTGGGATGCTGTCTTCTCCCTGGGGTTTGTCTAGAAAGCCTGGGAAAGAGTCAAAGTTGCATGTTTTAAAAGTGTTGAGAGTAGGTAGCTTCCCCTCACAGTTGCCTCGTGGTATTGTGAGCGAACTGCTCACTTTGAAAATTTAAAAAGGTTTATTAAACCTTAACAAAAATACAACAAAGGACTACATAAGGAAAAAGCTGCAGTGCTGGGAACTGCCCCTTGTGCTTACCACATGGCCAGTTCATCCTCAAGATGGATGCTCAGTCTATTATACCCCTGGGGGTTGCATCAGCCGGCCCTGGCCCCTCCCAGAGTCTGTCAGTCAGCTCTTCTTTGCCATTTTTCAGTGGAAACTGCTTTCTTGTAACTGGATTGGAGGTCAGGTGTTGCCATGCCTCACACCCTAAGCACCAAGCTTTTCCATTCCCAGCTGCCCCATGTGCACACCTTCTTTCTACCTGTTTGTCCTAGACAAGCCAGGCTGTCTGATGGCAACAATACTGGGGGAAAAGGGAACCATGGGGAGAACAGAGGACATCTAAACTACAATAACATAACTATACATCACTAAAGCTTTTCTTAATATTCACACCATAGTTATCTTTTAATTGCAAGAGCCAATCATCCCATTGTCCATCTATAACAGTATTAATAGGCACAAAATACTTGCTGTGATCAAGAACTCAGCAAGGCTAAAAAAAAAAAAAAAAGGGGTATATTTGTGGAAAACAAGCTTGTCCAGAGTTACAATAATGTAGATTATCCAAAAGCCAGGGATTTTGCAAGGAATATTAAATTCCCTTCCTTCAGGACATAGACCAGACTCAAACTTACAGGGGATTAGAGACAGAACTTCTCTCTGGGTTGGGTGTTGTGTTTACCAATGATCAAGGTTGAAGATCATTGGTGAACAATGGCTAGAGTGGCATTCTTTGATTTGGGAAAGTGGGAACAAAGCCAGTGATCCTGGGAGAGCAGTGTATGTGGGGTGTGTGTGATGCTGAAATTGGGTTGAATTTTGGAAGGGGGTTGTGGCCCTGGTGTAGTGGTCCCCCTGATGTGACAAAGACATGTATGAACACATGAGTGGAAAAGCCATGTCTGTTTTGAACTATTGGTGAACTGTGATCCCTAACAAGGGGGTATCTTGGGGTAAGAAAGGGCTTTTGGTTTGGTTGGGTTTTTTTAAGATGATAGCTCAAAGGATTTAGTTCTTAGAGTTTCTGACAGTGACATTCCTGTGGTTACTTGGCTCCATTGCAAAGCCTATATTTCTTGCTCTGGAAGGTGGAAGGTGAAAGATACTGAAAGGAAGTAAAAGTAGAAGTCTAAAGAACTGGTAAAAACTCCAAGGCTGTGTGTAGGTATTTGAGACTTAAAATATTACAGTGTGGTGTCAGGGGCAGAATAGAGGCATCTTGAGGCAAGGAGGCCAGCAAAAGGTCATGTTCTATGAATGCTTTTTAAAAACCTGTCTTGAGGGACCTCTCCCCCTTAGATAGCTTAAAAACATGTGATCCTGTTGGAACAGAGGAACTAATACCAAATTGTGCAGGGTTGGTGATTTGATCCCTCTCATGTGCTGTTTTCCTTATTCCTGAAGAATCAGCCCCCCTCCTTGCAGCATCACAAGGCTGCGCATTGATAGTTTATCTCTGTGTAATGATGAGTTAAGGGTTTGAGAACAAGGGAGCTGTACAAACAGGGCAGAGCTGCTGGTAAATGAGTGACTGGTACCAGGAGGCTGAGACATCTGTTTCTGGCTGCTTACGTGGAGAAAAATAAAGCAAGTCAGGAGCTTTTGTTGAATTAAAACACATCCTTCTTTTGAGCTGCCTCTCTGTTCCTTTACCTGGAGTGTGAAATTGGGCAGAGTTGCAACATCCTGAGTTCTGTGTCCCAGGCAATAAAAATACACAGCTTTGACATGGACTTTTCTCACAGGGATGGGTGTGAGGGCATGTTCCCATCTGGGACATGAAAACACAGGCAGGTGCTTCTCTCCTATGTGAAGCAACTGGAACTGGAAAACCTTCACAATGGAAAAGGTGTGACTCCAGATTCAAAGTCCTGTCAGTCCAGGCAGATCCAGAAGGATCTGCAAAAGGATAATGGATGATGGAAGTTGGACACTAAACTTGAATCTGGGTAGCTGAAGGTTTGTGATGGGCAGCCCCCAAACACCCACCTGGCTACAGCCTCCTCTCAGGCAGTTGCAGAGAGCTCTAAGGTCCCTCCTGAGCCTCCTCTTCTCCAGGCTGAACAGCCCCAGCTCCCTCAGCCACTCCTCATCAGATTTGTGCTCAAGTCCCATCACCAGTTTCATGGCCCTTCTCTAGACACAATCCAGCACATGGCACATGACTCCTGATGATGCAGGGAAAAGTTACAGAGATCCAGGTTCTTGATGGATTTGGCCCTCAGTGTTCCATCTAGTCCAGCAGCTAAGAATGGAAGCCTGATGTCTCAGATAAGGAGAGGCTTAGACAGACCAGGAGTGTTCAGAGACCTGGCATTTGGGTTAATGCTGGAGGAGGGATTTGCTTGGGATGCTGGTGCCATAACTGTCACCTGTGAACCACTGTTTGTAGGGTGTGAATGCATGGCTGGGACACTTCTTTTGAGCTGCCAGAATGCACACAAAGTTTTCCAAACCCCACTTCTGCTTTTGCTTTCTTTAAAGTTCAGTCCTCTAAACTCCTGCAGCTCAGGAGCTGATTCACAAGCAACTTGGGTTCCCCTGTAGGAGGCTTGCCCAGACAGCTGTGGGAGGTTATGTGGAGTCACTGAGGAGATTCAGTGATTCCCTTCTGGCAAACAGAGCCCTAAGTGGAGTCACAGGACATACCTGAAGCTCACCCAAGTGATTTATGCCACCAGGTTAGAGCCTGTGACTTTCTAGTCACTTTGAAAGGGTTCCCCTTAGGCAAGTGGGAATCCTTTTCTTCTCTGTAATGTATCAAAGAGTTGGATGTGGCAGTCACACACCAAGCCCACCTTGAAAGCATGGCTGCAGAGCCAGCACATCTGCTGGAAACATCACTTCTGTCCCCAGAGGGGGCTCTAGCACTATTGCCCACTTACTAACAGTAGGGGAATTAGGACCTGAACAATTCCATCCCAATCATACAACAGTGCTGGATGAACTGGTGTTGGAGCTGCTTTTCTGTGTCACATTTCTGGGTGTTTTATCTTTCCCTATGAGGCAGCCTCTCTCCCTGCAAGGACCCTGCTGGCTTCAGTCTGACCCCAGGAAAATCCCCTTTCCTTTTTCTCTTGTGTAAACAGATCCCCTCAGGGGCTGAGTGAGGCACCCATCTATGTTTTCTAAGTCAAAGGCTTAATTCTTACCCAAAAGTGTGCACGCACACACAGATATTCAACTCCCACTTCTATTTTTATTTTTAATTTTTGTAGGAATTCTTATGGAAAGAAGGATCAATATCACTGCAAAAAAAAAAAAAATTGATTTTTTAAAATTTCTTTTTCAACTTTTCCTCTGATTTTGCTGTAGGGAGCTCTCAGGTCTCCAGGCCTGTGAAGTCAGACTCTACCAGAAGGTATGCTGAGCTTCACAGCTCACTGAAACTACCTGAAAAATTGCCACTAAAATTAATTTTCAAGAGAAATTCTTTGGGGTTTTCATGCTTTTATTTTTACAAGAAATCGCTACTCTCTTCTGTAAACTTTTGGAAGAGCTTCATCTAAATATTTCTTTCAAAGCTAGCAGATTTTGGGTCAAGGGGAGCACAAACCTTTTTGAAAATTTCTACAAGATCTACAGTTTACTTGTCACATTTTTCAGATTAGGGGGAAAAAGAATTAGAGAGCAGATCTTATTGCAAATCTCTGGTTTTTTTGGGGGTTTGTGACCCTATCCCCAGGAGAGAACAGCCTGAAAAGGCAGTGGAACAGCATGAGGCTCCCAAGCATAAGAATGATAATCTTTATGGAAGCACTCTGTCAGAGGGTGATATCTGAGTAGGAACTGTATTATTGGCCATTCCTTCCAAGGGAAATGCTGGAGAATGCCAAAGAAAACAGACACAAATGGAGAGGGGTGAACACAGAGACGGCCACCACAGGGATCCCAGCCATGAACAGCCAGCCACACACAGCATCAGGCACCGGGGAAAACCCAGAAAATATTTCCCCAGCATTGGCCAGTCAGCAGCTTTAGAAATACTTTGTGAGCAGTGGCTGATGGAGGTGAAAGCACTCTGACAGTCACCATCACCTTGCAGAGCAGGAGAGGAGCACAGTCCCCTTTCTGTGGGAAGAAAGCAGAGGGATTAAAGCCTGGCCCTCAATCAGTGCTGCTGCTTCTCAGGGCACAGTTATTAGCTACTCTCCTTCACTCCCTGCAGCTCCTGACCACTTCACCTGGGGTGAAGGGAGCAAATTTTAACATTTTAGCCCACATGCCCAGGCACAGAGAGCAGCAGCACTGGGAAGAGCAAGGATTACCACATGCCTGCTCCCCTGATGGGTTGGGATTCCCTTGCAGAGTTTTGTGTGGCAGCTCATGGCTCTGTGCACAGCCACATGTGCAAGAGAAGAGACACCCAAGGTAACTATATTGTGAACTTGGTGAGGCAGAGGCTGTTTTTCTCCAGTTTGGCACAACAGCAAGTATCCTGGCTGCTTTCCATGAACAGGAGTAATAGTAAACCTCATCGTGGATACTGCAGGCAGAAGGAAAATTGAGTGTTCAGGGCCAGTCCCCCCTCCTCAGCCTCTGTGGAGGCTCTTGGCCAGTCCAGTTGTGCTTAGGGATTTTTTTATTTTAATATAGCCATCTGTTCTGCTCACCAGGGGTCCTGTTTGGAGCCAAGTGTTGTGTTGCCTTCAGTTCATATTGTGTAAATCCCAGAAAATAAATCAGAGGTGCTTTCCTAGTATGCCTCCCCATGTATCAGACTGGTCCTGATGCAGATCTGTCTCTGAGG